TCGGCAGCTCGGTTGCTGGGCGGCTCGGCGGCTCGGCGGCTCGGTCGCTGGGCGGCTTGGAGGCTCAGCTGCTGGGCGGCTCAGCGGTGAAGGGGCCGGTAGAGGCGACGATGGGGCCGCTAGGGGCGGCAGCAAGGGCCGCTAAGGGCGGCGAGGTGGCCGTGAAGGGCGGCGACAGGGCCGCGAGAGGCCGCGAAGGGCGGCGAAGGGGCCGTGACGGGCGGCGCGAGGTGCCGCGGAGGGTGGCGACGGGCCGTAAAGAGGCCGCGAGGGGCCGCGAAGGGCGGCGTAAGGGGCCGTAGGGGGCCGTAAGGGCGCCGCGAGGGGCCGGAAGGGGCCGCGCGAGGGGCCGTAAGGGCGGCGCGAGGGGCCGTGAGAGGGGCCGCTAAGGGCGACGCGAAGGGGCCGTGAGGGGCCGTGAGAGGACGCGACGGTAGGGAGGGCACACGGGGCGCGACTCGGGCAGGAGCAAAGCGCGCTCCGGGCAGGAAAAAAAATTCGTGGTGGGCCCCAAGAAGCGTTCCCACTAGGGAACCTGCTCTATACCATGTGAAGAAATGAGGAGTGAATGAACTAGCACAAAGTTGGGTACAAGTAGGAAACCCTAGGAAACTGTACCCCATAATGTCTACCCCACTATAGCCTAGACAAGCTATATGATATAAGTTTGACATAAACATGCTGTTTAACATGCTATGCAAGAACGGACACTATACGAAAAGATGTATCCAAAACAGACAGAACGGAGTGAAAGCGAAATATGCAAGACTAAGGGAGTACAAAAACGGATTGGGAGAAAAAGAAGCCGTGAAGGAAAGGAACTTACAGAGAACGGAACCAAACAGACATATAGGTTACATGACGGATGATATACGACGATAAAGATTGGAAGAGAAAAAAGGAGTATGTACATACGAAAGAAAGGAACGAAGGAAGAAATGAATGACAGGGACAAGTACAGCATAAACTAGTAGCCAGATCAGAAATTACAAGAATAGCATCCAAGAATAAGACCCATATGAAGCAATTTCTAGGAGGAAAATTTACATTTGACGTGCTTAGGCTTCTAAATACGCCATAAGAGCAAGATCTATCGAACTATATCATGGGTCGTTGACAACTAAAAGACAATCACATGCTCAGCTTAGTTTAGCCTAAAGATTACAGGAAATGCTTAAAACTTTACTAAGAGCTTAGAACCTAAGGACGCGATTACGACTAGGATACGCGATTACGGTTAGACTAGCTTGTAACTACTATCTTAGTTCTACTTAATAGCCTTGGGTTCTGACCTGTTAGCGGTAGGTAGATGCAGCATGACTAGCGGGAGTACGTTGAGAAGAGCTCCAGCAGCGAGAGGAAAGCGAGAGAGGAAAAGAAGAAATACAAACCCTATGTTCGCGCGTAACGTTTATGATAAATTGATATTTCTAATCCTGACAGGCGGCTGTAGCTCAGCTGATTGATGCTGAGTCAGGAATTGAAAGCTCGCGGGTTCGATTTCACCGATGTGCTTTACAAAGCCTGAACTGAAAAGTTTGACCTGAGTTTCGGTGTTACACTGCTACGCCTTGTTGTACAAAAATAATAATAACTTAGGTTTGCAAAACGCTTCGCAACCCTACGACGACTACGTCACCTCTTGTTTTTTTTTGTGCAAAATTATTCGCGAGTTCTTCTGTTGCGCTCAGGTGGTTAGCGACGTCTTTTATTCTCGCAGCACGAAATTTTCGCCGCTTCAGATGTTTTCGCGCAGAGTTTCCAATTCGTGGGAGTTTTCGCCGCGACGCCGATACATTTGTATGCCGCGACGCAGAGTTTCGGGTTGATGCCTCCCTCGATGGCAGCCATATATACATATATATATATATATATATATATATATAATCCGTCGCAAAGGGCATCAACCCTAAACACTTTCGCCCAATGTTTCGGGTTTATGCTCCCTAAACACTTCCGCCCGGTGTTTAGGGTTGATGCTCCCTAAACAGCATGCCATCTGAGAGGGTAATATATTTTTGTCTGCCCAAAAATCGGGTGCAAACGGTTCGATGGCCGTCAATCCAAGCGGAGTTGTCGGTCCGTCTACATTGTGACCAATGAAAACGTTAATGCGTAGAAATCTCACTAACTCTGCGCTGTAATCGAAAACTGGGCAGTAACAGTGCGCCAGAAGCGACAATGCGGCGCTTTTGGCGTATAGTTTCAGTAACAATACGGGATCAACTAAAAACCCTGAAAAGAAACAACGGACATGTGTGTGCATAGTCAACGCCCCACTTGGAGCAAAAAAGACAACCAACCTCACCGTGGGGGTCAAGATGCCCCATCACAACCAACACCCCTCTGGTACAGTACATTCCCGAACCCCAATTGTGAAGCCATCCCGAATTACTTTTCCGAAATGCAGCTACTCTTGCATCGAAACAAAACCAGAACAGCTCAAAAGCAAATGGCAGGGCCTAAAAGAAAGATATCTCCGCCCAGAACAATCGTGATGTAGCCATCATGATGCCTAACAAATTTTGCCGACAGATGAGACTCACTTAGCGCTCGCCAAAGTGAGTCAAATTTTGCCTGTGATTGCTGTGCACGCAATGGGCGGTACAGTTTGGGCAGCGACTCGGAATCCCGTGCCGCTGATGAGGTGCAAGATGAGGTTGACGTTTCCAAACCGTGAGGTTTGGTCACGATGGAGGTCGGATGAGGTTTGACTTCCTTCCGAGCCTATACATTTCATGTGGTTAGGATATCCCATAAAGGGACTCCCGTTTTGAACCCAGCCAGCAACCCCAACTAGATGGCATACCGAAGCTGTAGCCGAGGCTCCCTCCGAAGCTGGGGAGAATCAGGTGGGTTACAACGAACTGAGCGCCTCCCTGATTGGTCCAAAACCTTCTCCCGAAATGCGGAAATCGAGAATTACAGTACTTCGTTGTGGTCGTTTGAGCGCAAAGGTAACTCCAGGGCTTCTTTTGCGGAACCTACAGGTTACCCCCCGAAGCGATTTTTCCCTCGGGATTTTTGGGATCCTCATTTCTAGCCCTCATCAGCCTGCGTCAGCCTGCTTCCCACACCGGACAGTTGGCGAGCTCGGTTCCTGGCGGTCGAGTGCAGCACGCGTGGTCCGGCGTGCTGGGAGCTCGGAGCCCGGTAGCACTGCCGAGGCCGCTACCGGGCACAAGCCGACGTACCTAGTGAAGGCTGCGTTCTGCAGGCGCATCAGCCCGCATTCTACCATGGTTCCAGGAATTTTCCACGATAACCTGCCGACAGGTTATCAAGGTTCGCGATAAGCGCATGGCTGCCGAAGCAAAACAAAACCGAATGCCTGCAGAGCGGCCTTTTTGGCTTACGAAATTTCTAATATGTCCGCTTTCCAAAAAGCTTCCTCTCCCAGCAAGCTGGCGCATCATTGATGCGCGTCACATGCGACTTCGAAAACTCGGATCATGGCGCTGTTCTGTAGGCGTTATTGCCTCCGCATTAAATGTATGGAACTTGTCCTTCCTTGTACCTTCTGGCCGCACCAAATGCCTAATCTCTCAATTTGCCGGGGGGTGTTGCCACGAAGCTCGCTCAAAATCTAGAATCTCACAAATTGCTGCCCTGCATAACTTGTGAGCTGGCTGATGCTAGCTCTCGAGGCCGAATATGCAGCGCACAAGTTATGCGGACATTTGCCTGGAGATGCAACACCGTGGAACCTTCACCCCGTTAAATTTGTGTGCCCCAAAAGTGGCAAGAATGTTCTTGCCAGGAACCGCATTTAGGGTCAGTTTCGTTACAACGTAAAGTGATCAGTGTCCTTTCGAAAAAAAACCTGAAAGATCAGAGTCATCTGGCACCTAAAGGCTGAAAAATCAGCCCCTAAAAAAACTGAACACTGGAAAATCAGGATAGGTACAAAAAAATCCCTGAAAATCAGGAATTTCAGGGAAAAAATCCTGATAACGTAGGGCCTGGTGTGACAGCCAACTTTCCCAAACCACCCCTTGCTTTGGTGTGCTTTGCGACAAACTTTGCTGTTACCAAATTCCAACCGTTTAACACTTGGTTGGATAGCAGAAATATGAGACGCGAGCTTTAAGCTTTTCTTGCCTAGCAACCAGGGATCAAGGTTTTACACATCAGGTGGGTGTATATCCTGTCCTGAAGTGGCTAAAGCACCTTAAGCATCAACAAGCAGTGCATTCACTTCACGTGTAATGGCCGGTCCGTTGTAACTTGTACGTGCCCTGATGCTCCCTGGACCCTGGGTGTCGACAGCATGTGTTGTCAGCAACCCCTTCAAACTGTTATGGTATGTGCCATGAAGCTCAGAAAGGGTTTGCCAATGGCTCAACCAGTAGGGGCATACCGAAACTCGCCCGCAGAGTGACAGCACTGATGGGGGAGTGCTTGTAGGCGGGGGAGAGGCGCTATGAGAACTGCCTGAGGATGTGCGCTAGCACCACCTTTGCTTCCGTGAGGGCAAAGTTGTTCCCGATGCAGATACGCGGGCCCGAACCAAAGGGTAGGAATGCCTGAGGGTGAGAACAGGCTTCATCTGTCCCTTCTGGAATGGGTGGGGTTTGAGGAGGGTATGAGGGAGAACGGTCAAAGGAGGAACGTGATATACCAGTAATGAATACAACCACAAAGAATTGAAGTTCTGTGGAAGAGGAATCTTAGGGGAAAGAACGGGGAAGGGGAAACGAGAGGAGGAAAACGGCACAGGCATGCAGACGAGAATCGTGAAGAAAGCAGTGGGGAGAAACAGAAACGGCAACAAAACCAATGGAACAAGGAACATGAGGCACGACAAAAAAGGAGACTGGCTGGCAAAGCGGTCGGGGTTGAAGTGGAGTACATGCAGGCCCCAGTAGCGATTGCAAGACGACAAAGGAGGAAAAGAAAACGACAAAGAGCTGGGCAAAGAATTGGGCAAAGATGAGGGCAAAGAATTGGGCAAAGATGAGGGCAAAGAATTGGGCAAAGATGAGGGCAAGTGGACTGACTGGCGAAGCGGTCGGGGTTGAAGTGGAGGGCTTGAGGGCCCCAGTAGCGCGGGTCATAGTGCAATAGAGCCACCGGTATCAGCGCGTTCACACCCCGCGGCACGTCATATGGGCCCAGCATGCACACCTGGAAAGGGGAGGTGTGGTGAGAAGGACGGAGTGAGCATTCCAGGCCACCAATGTCCTTGTGGGTCATAGTGCAGCATGGCGACTGGTATCAGCACGTCCATGCCCCGCGGCACGTCGTATGGTCCCAGCCTGCACGCCTGGAAGGGGGGGGTGCGGTGAGAAGGGAGGAGTGAGCATTCCAAGGCACCAGAGTCCTTGTGGGTCATAGTGCAGCAGGGCGACTGGTATCAGCACGTCCGTGCCCCTCGGAAGGTCAATACGGGCACAGCCTGCACGCCTGCGGGGGGGAGAGGGTAAGGAGGAGAGAGCGAGCAGGAGAGAGTGTGGAGGACGGGGTGGGGCTACGAGATTGAGGAGGAGGGCAGGCTGTGTGAGTGGGTGGGCGATGAGGCTGAGAGCTTCAGAAAGATAGAACTAGAATAAGCCCCCCTTTAACCATCTCAACCCCCCTGCCACTAATAATTCAATCAACACCCCAGTGCCAATCGGAACCCACAGCCCATGTGTACCTGCTGGCACGTGCGGCCCAGGAAGGGGACTGCCGCCCCCTCCCTCGTCGCCTCCCATCTTCCACCTGCCTCTGACCCTGCCTTGTCTGCTGCTCCCGCTGCTGTGCTGGCTGTGGGGACTGCTGACGTGTCTCCTGCCCCCTGCTGAGTCAGCGCCTGCTTGAGCTCTGCTCTCAGCCGCTCCTGCCAGTCGGGATGCTTCGCCAGAAGATAGAACGTCCACGTCAGCAGGTGTGCCGTGGTGCTGTGGCCTGGCGTTGGGGGGCGAAGGGGAGAGGGGCACAGAGGAAGATGGGAGGCGACGTGGGAGGGGGCGGCAGAAGGAAGATGGGCATTGGTGAAATGGGAAGGGGAGGCAACACGACGCACAGAAGGGAGGCAATGCAGAGAAGATGGTTGATAATGCGAGTGCTGTAGGAGGGGAGGGGGGAGGGGGGAGGGGGGAAGAAAAGTAACAGGGAAGCAAATGGCTGAGTGGAGAGGAGAAGGGAAGAAAACGAACAGGAATTAAGGTAAGATTGAATGTGGGCTTGGGAAGGGCGGGGAATGGATATGAAGGGAGAGAAGAAAGTATAGCGGAGTGGGCCAGTAGCAGCGAGGAAAAACGCGAGGTATTCGTTGTAAAGAGACAGTTTTGGGGACGTCTCGAGAAACGAGAGGCATTCATAGCTTCGGGTTTGTCATCTTCTGTCTGTGATTTACGCTGAGTTAAAAGTTAATTCAGTCAACTCGACTGAAAGCACAAGGGCAGTACGCGCATACCAGCGAGGAGGAAGGCGATGCATCCATGAGCTGCTGATCCGTCATCTGCTCGTGATGACTTTCGGTCGACTTACAAGTCATTTGACTTGGAAGTCATTTTAAGTTGACTTAGAAGACATTTTGAGTCAACTTAAAGGAGCATACCAGCGAGGAGGAAGGTGATGCACTCGTCCATGAGCTGCTGGTCCGTCATCTGCTCGTTGCCTGCCTCGTCATGTGCTGCCAGCATCAACGCCAACAGGTCCCGTGCACCCCGCCCTGCTGCCCCCCCCTGCTGCTCTCCATGTGCTGCCTCCTCCGCACGCACTGCTGCTGCTGCCCGCCTCTTGCCAATCAGGTGCAGGGTCAGGTTGCGAATGCTCCTTTCTGCTGCCCAGAGGGCAAAGTTCTCGGGAATTGGCAAGATGCTGAGATGGGGGAATAGCAAGAGTGCGGAAAGGGAGTTGGGCGATATATTCGCCCCCCCTGGCTGAACAATACATGCAGAGATAAGAGCGGGGATGGACTCAGTGCCTGGAGAATCCGCAGTAAACAAGGACAAGGACCCAGGCTCGGAACAGAAAAAAATCAATTCTTTCCGAATGATTATCTCGAGGCATGGTGGAGGCACGGTGGAGGCGCGGTGGGGGCAGCAGACTTACTCATAGAAGGGCACGAGGGAGCGCCAGGAGGTGACCCTCTTGGAATCCAGCTCGGCCAGCTTCGACAACGCCTTGTACACCTGCACTGGTCTGGTGCCCCTGCCCCCGCTGCCGCTGCTGTTGCTGGTAGTAATTGTGTTGCTGGTAGTAATTGTGTTGCTGGTAGTAATTGTGTTGCTGGTAGTAATTGTGTTGCTGGTAGTAATTGTGTTGCTGGTAGTAATTGTGTTGCCGCTGCCGCTGCGGCCGTATCTGCCTTCACTGCCACGGACCTGCCACCCTCCTTCCCTAGCCCCTTTTCCTCCCCTTCCCCCCGTTCCTTCCGTCTCCTCTCCTTCTCGCCCCCCTCGTGTGTGACAGCAGAGCCAAAGGCAGCGAGGCCAATGACATCCAGAGCCACGAGGGACATGCTCTCCTGCACGTCCACCTCCATACACGCACGCCCTAAACGCTCCTTATAAGCACGCTCGGTATAGGCTCTCTCCGGCGCTCCCTCCCCACCCCCTTCCTTGGCACGCTCGGTTGATAACATGCCTTGTCCTGTTTGTTGGCTCTGCTGCTGCAGCTAATGCCACCACGAGTTCGCCAAAGAGTGGCCCTGGCCATCCATGATTCTCACCATCTCCTGCATGGGTCAACGCAGGTCAACGCTTGTCAACGCATGTCATCGCAGGTCAATGCAGGTCAACACAGGTCAGCGCAGGGCAATATAGACCAACACAGGTCAGTACAGGTCAACCCAGATCAATGAAAGTCAACACAGGTGAAAGCAGGTCAACAAAGGTCAATCAGGTGAACCAGGCTCAGTGCACGTCAAACGTGGCAGAGGAAGTCCAAATAAAGTCAATGACTCGTCAGGAGTAATCGAAACAGCCAACATGGGTCATTTTCCTCACATGAGCCAGCAAGGATCAGCACGGGAAAACAAAAATCCGCAGGAGCAAGTCAACAAGCCAACAAGTCAACAAGCCAACACGACTATGAGGCTATGAACTCACCCTGATGGCAGCGGGGCGGAAGGCGGGGGTGACGATGCGGCGCTGGCGTGCCCACAGCGACCCCTCTGAGAGAGGCAGCCCGTTGCCCAGCAGCCTCATTATCTTGCGCGCCCTTGCTGTCTTGGTGACCCGCCCGCTTCTTGATACGAGAACCTGCCAGAGACGAGACAGGGGGATCATGGATGCATGTTGGAGGCGCCTCAGAGACTGCCTTGCTCGCCCCCGCTGTTTTGGTGAATCGCCCGCTGCTGGAGAGAAGGACCTGGTAGAGACGAGACGGGTGGATGGAGGAAGACAGAAAGGACGGGTGAGCGCTGTAAGGAGGGTCTGTCAGGGAGTGGGGAGATGAAGGGAAGGGAGAGATGAAGCAATCGCATCTCATGCAATCATATCACATCGAGTGACATCACATCGCGTCGCATCACATCACATCACATCACATCACATCACATCACATCGCATCGCATCGCATCGCATCGCATCGCATCGCATCGCATCGCATCGCATCGCATCGCATCGCATCGCATCGCATCGCATCGCATCGCATCGCATCGCATCGCATCACATCACATCACATCCCATCGCATCGCATCGCATCACATCACATCGCATCGCATCGCATCGCATCACATCACATCACATCACATCACGTCATTCAGATCGCATCGCATCACATACAATCACAAGATTGCCACATGACTGTACCTGTCTCACTAGTGCAGGATCCGTTACAACCAGTTGCACCGTGGCCCCTACAGTGAACCCGAACACGTCCCCATACTGCTCGCGCCACAGGTGCAGCCGCGGAAGCAACACAGCAGGGCCGTGGGTGGAGGGGGGGGATTCAGGGGAGGGGGACGCGGAGGAGGGGGAGGCGGAGGCGGAGGAGGCGGGAGAGGGGGTTTGGTTGGGGGACGGTGGGGAAGAGTGCGGGGTGCGACGGTAGAGGTCGAGCGCTTGACCAATGAGAGGCCTGGAGTGCATGGGAGGAGGGGATGTCAGGAAGGCATGATGTGAGGAGAGACATGGGGGGTGGGGGTTCGGGGAGTTTTAAGTTGTCTCAGAAGAATGGAGGGGTGGGGGAGTTGTGAGTCGCCTCAGAAGCGGGAGATGGGGAGTGCGGTGAGGGGAACGGAGAAGAGCGGTTCGAGATTGGGTAAGGGGAGGCGAGGCGCGAGTGTGTCTGGATTCTTTAAGGGGCATAAATAACGAGAATAAGTGTCCATCGAACAGCAGAAATTAACGATACAGTATTCTGGAGGAAACTTCTACTACGATGCAGCGGAATGGCTCGAATAAGCCTTAGATGTACGCGGCTTGAGCAGAACGAACGGAATGAATGTCGTTCTTGAAACGGCAAGTATGAAATGCTTTTCTTGAACCGGCGGAAGAAAAGGGCCTTACTTAGAGGCGGGAACGAAATGCCTTACTTGAACGGCAGGAAGGGAATGCCTTGCTTCTTACACAGCCGCATTATGCGGTACGGCACATACACAAGGCGATACGCGAGGTACAGCGTTCCGACTGCTATCCCAGCCCACGGAACGAAGGCTAACCACCAGGGAACTTGGTGCTGCCACGTGGCACCATCGTGCCATGCTACAGTGCTAGACTCAGACAGTATGGTCATGGGAACAGCAGGAATTTCTGAAAACAGATTACGATAGAGAGCAGTGGAGGGAAGTTATGCTAAATCCACTCGAGGAACAAAGCACTGAACAGCCAGCACTCAAAATTCTGAGCGATGGAGTCGAATTCCTTCCAACACCTACATTTTTCCAAAACAGCCCCACCATTCCAGCCAAGGTCTGGAATCTGGGACGAAAATCGAGGTTGAAATCTGACAGCTTCGGAACGCTGTTTTGTAGGACTCCGAACCGGAGCGACCCAATACAGTTCAATTCAGGTTTGGTTCGAGTCTCGTTGGTTTGGATTTTCGGGATTTGTGTTGGATTTCGCATTCCAAACTGTAACGACAAGATTTGGGTTCGCGAAATGTGGCGATCTGCGATCTGAGAACTTTGAAGGGGCACGAGTGGAGTTGCGATGCGTGGAAGGCGAACCCTAAATTCGGCTAAGGGCGGGTCCAACTTTGCACACTCCCGTTTTTTTCGTTATTTTTACGTCAATGCACTAGTCAAACTTGACTGTACCCCAGGGCGAACTCCAAACATTCCCTGTCCAGTTCCGAGTGCACAATTCGGACTTTTGACAAGGAAAGTAACGCTGCAGGGAAAGTACCTGGGATGAGGGGTTACCCAATAAAGAGAGGTTTTTCGCACCTTTGACGCAGGGGGGATTCATTCGCGAACACAAAGTAGCGAAAACGGGTGTTACCTTTTGGCGTGTTCGACGCGAAACGAGCTTGACGTGAACCTTCGGACGTGTTCTGCACGTTCCCGGGCACGTTTCCGTACTGGCATCATACATGTAAAGTCTCGCGTCAAATGGATTATGGTACGTTTGTAATTCTGTTACATACCGACATGTGGTAACTGATCTGAAACATTATCGTACATGTGCAAAGTTGGACCCGCCCTAACCAGCAACAATCGTGGAAGAGCGCATTCGACGCACTCGCACTACTAAAGGGGGAATTTTTAACACTCATTAGTGTAGTCCGGGGCCTTGGTTAGGGTGCGAGGGGGAATTCGGTGACTGTGGCCTCGACGAAAGCGTGCGACGTCGCTGCTCACAAGGCCCCTGTCAACGCCTCGGTTTGTTAGAGCTTGGAAACTTCCTAGAAAAATTTGTAACAGAAAGGCGTGCGACGTCGCTACTCACAAGGGCGCCGTAGGCAATTCGTGAGAGGGTTTCGGCGTTAGATTATGAGCAGCGCTCTCGCCGCGCCCGCGTTCTCTCGCCGCGCCTCCCATAGCTCTGCGCAGCACCTGCAGCAAAGTTAGCTCGTCAGGATCGCCGGCAGATAACTCGCACTACTACCACTCCTCTGTCGGTTGGCAATAGCCTGCGAACCAACCTCCAACATCCTCTCCCCTCACACATGTTGTCACTCGCGCCCACTGCAGCTCGGCTTGCCCGCTTTCTCACACTCGGCTTGCCCGCTTTCTCACACTCGGCTTGCCCGCTTTCTCACACTCGTCTTGCCCGCTTTCTCACATTCGGTTTGCCCGCTTTCTCACACTCGGTTTGCCCGTTTTTTCACACTCGGATTGCCCGCTTTCTCACACTCGGCTTGCCCGCTTTCTCACCCTCGGCTTGCCCGCTTTCTCACACTCGGTTTGCCCGCTTTCTCACACTCGGCTTGCCCGCTTTCTCACACTCGGCTTGCCTGCTTTCTCACACTCGGCTTGCCCGCCTTCTCACACTCGATTTGCCCGCTTTCTCACACTCGGCTTGCCCGCTTTCTCACCCTCGGCTTGCCCGCTTTCTCACACTCGGTTTGCCCGCTTTCTCACACTCGGCTTGCCCGCTTTCTCACACTCGGCTTGCCCGCTTTCTCACACTCGGTTTGCCCGCTTTCTCACACTCGGTTTGCCCGTATTTTCACACTCGGTTTGCCCGCTTTCTCACACTCGGCTTGCCCGCTTTCTCATACTCGGCTTGCCCGCTTTCTCACACTCGGTTTGCCCGCTTTCTCACACTCGGTTTGCCCGCTTTCTCACCCTCGGCTTGCCCTCTTTCTCAAACTCGGCTTGCCCGCTTTCTCACACTCGGCTTGCCCGCCTTCTCACACTCGGCTTGCCCGCTTTCTCACACTCGATTTGCCCGCCTTCTCACACTCGGTTTGCCCGCTTTCTCACACTCGGCTTCCCGCTTTCTCGCACTCGGTTTGCCCGCTTTCTCACACTCAGTTTGCCCGCCTTCTCACACTCGGTTTGCCCGCTTTCTCACACTGGGCTTGCCCGCTTTCTCACACTCGGTTTGTCCACTTTCTCACACTTGGTTTGCCCGCTTTCTCACACTCGGTTTGCCCGCCTTCTCACGCTCGGCTTGCCCGCTTTCTCACACTCGGTTTGCCCGCTTTCTCACACTCGGCTTGCCCGCTTTCTCACCCTCGGCTTGCCCGCTTTCTCACACTCCGTTTGCCCGCTTTCTCACACTCGGTTTGCCCGCTTTTTCACACTCGGTTTGCCCGCTTTCTCACACTCGGCTTGCCCGCTTTCTCACACTCGGCTTGCCCGCTTTCTCACACTCGGCTTGCCCGCCTTCTCACACTCGGTTTGCCTGCTTTCTCACACTGGGCTTGCCCGCTTTCTCACACTCGGTTTGCCCGCTTTCTCACTCTCGGTTTGCCCACTTTCTCACCCCCGGCTTGCCCGCTTTCTCACACTCGGTGTGCCCGCTTTCTCACACTCGGCTTGCCTCGGCTTGCCCGCTTTCTCGCACTCGGTTTGCCCGCTTTCTCACACTCGGTTTGCCCGCTTTCTCACACTCGGTTTGCCCGCTTTTTCACACTCGTTTTGCCCGCCTTCTCACACTCGGCTTGCCCGCTTTCTCACACTCGGCTTGCCCGCTTTCTCACACTCGGCTTGCCCGCTTTCTCACACCCGGCTTGCCCGCTTTCTCACACTCGGGTTGCTCGCCTTCTCACACTCGGCTTGCCCGCTTTCTCACACTCGGTTTGCCCACTTTCTCACACTCAGCTTGCCCGCTTTCTCACACTCGGCTTTCCCGCTTTCTCACACTCGGCTTGCCCGCTTTATCACACTCGGTTTGCCCGCTTTCTCACCCTCGGCCTGCCCGCTTTCTCAAACTCGGCTTGCCCGCTTTCTCACACTCGGTTTGCCCGCTTTCTCACACTCGGTTTGCCCGTTTTTTCACACTCGGTTTGCCCGCTTTCTCACACTCGGCTTGCCCGCCTTCTCACACTCGGCTTGCCCGCTTTCTCACACTCGGCTTGCCCGCTTTCTCACACTCGGTTTGCCCGCTTTCTCACACTCGGTTTGCCCGCTTTCTCACACTCGGCTTGCCTCGACTTGCCCGCTTTCTCACACTCGGTTTGCCCGCTTTCTCACACTCGGCTTGCCCGCTTTCTCACCCTTGGCTTGCCCGCTTTCTCACACTCAGTTTGCCCGCTTTCTCACACTCGGTTTGCCCGCTTTTTCACCCTCGGTTTGCCCGCTTTCTCACACTCGGCTTGCCCGCCTTCTCACACTCGGCTTGCCCGCTTTCTCACACTCGGCTTGCCCGCTTTCTCACACTCGGCTTGCCCGCCTTCTCACACTCGGCTTGCCCGCCTTCTCACACTCGGCTTGCCCGCTTTCTCACACTCGGATTGCCCGCTTTCTCACACTCAGCTTGCCCGCTTTCTCACACTCGGCTTGCCCGCTTTCTCACACTCGGTTTGCCCGCTTTCTCACATTCGGCTTGCCCGCTTTCTCACACTCGGCTTGCCCGCTTTCTCACACTCGGCTTGCCCGCCTTCTCACACTCGGCTTGCCCGCTTTCTCACACTCGGTTTGCCCGCTTTCTCACACTCAGCTTGCCCGCTTTCTCACACTCGGCTTGCCCGCTTTCTCACACTCGGCTTGCCCACTTTCTCACACTCGGCTTGCCCGCTTTCTCACACTCGGCTTGCCCGCCTTCTCACACACGGCGGCCCGCCGAAGTCCATTCGAGCCCGCCCCCTACCCTCTCTTCTCTTCACTTTTCTTCCATTCTCTTCCGTATCGTTCTCTTTCGTCCCTTCCCTTCGCATCCTATCCTTTTAATTCCGTTTCATTACTTTTCCCCCCTTCTACTGCCCCTCCCTTCCCATATTCCCTTTCCCTTTCCAACAGTTTCATTCCGCTACCCTCCTTTCCCTCCTCTTCCCTTCCCTCCATTCCATTCCCGTCCCTCCCTTTCCATTTCCGTCCCTCTCCTTTCCCTCCACACCAATTTACCCCCCTTGCTTGCCTTCAATCTCCCCCTCGCCCTCAGTTTCCCCCCTCCTTGCCCTCAGTTTCCCCCCTCCTTTCCCTCAGTTTCCCCCCTCCTTGCCCTCAGTTTCCCCCCTCCTTGACCCTCAGTTTCCCCCCGCCTTGCCCTCAGTTTCCCCACCCCCCCTCCTGGCCCTCAGTTTCCCACCTCCTTGCCCTCAGTTTCCCCCCTCCTTGCCCTCAGTTTCCCTCCCCCCCCCCTTGCCCTCAGTTTCCCCTCTCCTTGCCCTCAGTTTCCCTCCCCTCCCCTTGCCCTCAGTTTCCTCCCTCCTTGCCCTCAGTTTCCCCTCTCCTTGCCCTCAGTTTCCACCCTCCTTGCCCTCAGCTCCCCCCCTCCTTGCCCTCAGTTTCCCCTCTCCTTGCCCTCATTTTCCACCCTCCTTGCTCTCAGTTTCTCCCCTGCTTGCCCTCAGTTTCCCCCCTTGCCTCGTTCCACTACTGTTTTCCTGTGCTTCCACATGCTTCCCATCATTTTCCACCAATTCTAACCCTGTCTTCTCCCCCCTGCTTGGGCTTGTTCCGTCCTGCTCGCCCTCCTTCCCCCCTCTTTCTTACCCCTCCTTTCTCCCTTGTTCCCTTTCTCTCTCAC